TATAGTGTTCTTAGCTGCAACAAGTCAGCTGGGAGACCCTCACGCTCAAAGCATTTCAGACTTTTTGATTCCCTTTAGCTACAGAGCAGGGACATACCAATCATATTTTTATTGTTCTTGCCCTAAGGATGAGAATATGTGTCTTTATGAGCATAGGACTGGGAGAAACCCCTTGGCTGACTGAGTTCAGTCCTCTACTGTTATGGACCTCTTCCATAACTGCTTTTAGATAGTTGCAAGTTCAAAAGGAGCAACCAATATTTTATTCCACAGATTTTGCTGCTTTCCTAGCTCTGAAGCACATGGAAAGGGTGGGAGTGGTCAGTACTGAATCTTTCCATTTTCTGATCACCATTCCGGTTGCTGTTCAGGTTGTTTTGTTGGGTGACAGTCATCTTCCCCAAAATGGAAGTCTAAAAATTAAATGCCTAGCTGTGAATCACAGCCTTTTCCATTCACAGCCAGTGGGGAGACACAGGCCCTTCCTATACTTTCTCTCTGTTGACTGTAAAGAGATCCTGTAGTGGTCAGACCTTGACATCTAACTCCCCGGTGTCAAAAGTGAAGTGAGATGAGTTCTGCATACCATACGTAGCACGGGAGTTGAGGGGTGGGAGGAATAGCCTGTTGGAAACACATTAATAGGGGATGGAAGGAGAAGATGCATAGAGGTAACTAGAAGCAATACATTCAGTAGCTGACATGCCTGGATATCGCTGTGGTAATCTGGGTTTGTGTACTGAGCAGGGAAACCTGGTGCAGGAGGAAAAGTGATGCAGCAAGCCTGGAATGAGTGATGGGACTGGGGGACGAGACATTTGTATGAGGAAGAGGAGATGTGGGGATAGGGATGGGCTTGTCAGCTAAGTGGCAGAGAAATAGGAAGAAAGAGAAAAGAGAGGGGGAATAAATGGGAGAGAAAATAAAAGGGAGGGTAAAACCAAAAAGAAAGAAAAAGCTCTTGAGAGATTTGAGGCAGTCGAAAGGAGCATCCGTGGGCAGTCTCAGACAAATATCTGCTCCAAGAGGGAGGGTTTAGTTGCTGGGAAGCATCAGAGCTACGTGAAGAGCCATTTCAAGTCAGCTTGAGTTTCCACTCAGAGTGGAATTGGGAAAATATTGAATAGAAAATGAAGGAGGAGAAATACAGATTGGGACCATTTAAAATATCTTTCCACCAAAAAACTTTCTAGGCCAAAACCCTCCAGGCAATTCAGCTTCTCTGCTTTGCAGTCAATCCCTTTGTTGCCATTTAATTCAAAGTCTCCTAATGCCTGGCCAGAGGTCTGAGCAGCCTCCAGCCTCCCCCAGCATCTTGCTTATGTCTCTCTGCCGTGCACTGCAGAAGGCAGTCTAGAGTCCTCAACAGGCATCAGAGCTTCTACTGCACACACTTGGTGAAGTTCAGGTTGCTCTAAATCATTTTAAGGTCTGGCTCCTGGCACTGAAATATCTAAGATGGTATGAGGAGCCTGACCGTTATTTGTAGGATATATTACTCCGTTTCAACTTGTGAAATAGAAACTGCTACGCCTTTGTCAACTGCATCTTTATTTCTGTCATGCACCATATGGCTACTTGCAGGGCAGATGATCCACAGCATGAGGATAATAAAGAGATTGGGCCAGGCTAACCTCTGATAAATCACTGGATTTATAGTCCCATTTTATTTACAGAATGAGTCTGTAATATTGCAGAACAGAGCCTAAAACATCTTTTTCTATCCAGTGAAGAACTGTCCTCTTCTGATTAATTATTACTTTTGCCAAGAAAAAGGGAAATAGGAGTTTGGATAAATATCATTAAACAAAATCAGGGATCAAGAGTAGCAGAATGATGTGCAGCAGGAGATTGCATGGGTGAGATCTGATATCTGACCTCTCGAATCAGACTTAGCTGGAAGTTTTTAAAGGTTCTTTATACCAGCAAGGACACTTTCCATCAAAAGCAGAGAACTGAGCCTCTGCTCTCACATTTACCTACCACATGCCCAAACTGTATTTTTTATTATAGAATTAGCATGGGTCCTTCTGCATCTTCAGCACACATTGCTAAGAGGAAAAGGAATTTAAAAGAAGAAGAGAAAGGGGAAGGGAAAACCAGATGAAAAGAGTCAGATGCTCTTTCTTGTATTCTCTTGTCAGAACAGAGCAGAGCTTCATCTGTGAACTGAAATACAGTTCTGTATTTCAGAACTGGGATGTACACAGGGCACACTCTGGTTCTTTACTTCCTACACATAAATAGAGCATGCGAGTAATGCTAAATTTATCAGTAAGAAGCCATAGCAGAAGAGCCGCTCACAGCCAGTCTGGTGTAGCAGTTCATCTCCATATAAATAAATACATCCCCTCACAGAGCTGCAGAGTATGTAATTCGTGTCATTAATGTGCAAGTTCACAAAAGTCCTAAATACCACGTTCCTGAGCATGGGGAGTGTTCTAGGGAGAGGAGGGGCCGACACGAACTCTGCGCTGGCAGAAGTGAGGGGAGGAAGGCCAACAGGCATTACTTCCTTGCCTTTACACATTGGTGGTGGTGGACTACGCCACGCAGAAAGCTGAACAGACCACCAGCAAGACAGGGGGCATGGAGGAACAGAAGTCTACAACTCCAAACCTGAAATGTGGCTTTTTTCATAGGCCTTTCTCAATATTTCACCTTCTCCCCTTTCCCCCTGCAAAACTGAAGGAAAACAGTGCTAACACTTCCCAAGTGAAACACTGTAAACTCATTTGGGAATGAATAATGTGGTTGAGGCTCAGGAATCCGCCCCAGGGGAATTCCACTGTCAAGAAGGACGTAAAAGGGCAGCACTGCCATGAAGGCATCATTTGAGGAATTACCGCTTCCTTTAGAATAGAAAGCAAACAGGATAAAAAAGCATCATAGTGGCACTGCACAAGTAATCCCTCTGTCGCCCCCACATTTGAAGCGGGGTTTTCAGTGGGGTTTGGGGGAACTGTTGGAAGCAGAGACGAGGAAGGGGAAAAAATAGATTGGTCTTGATTTTAAAGCTCTAGCAGGATGTACTAATCTTTTGCCACAGCATTTATTACTTAGCTGAGCATAATATTTTCTTGTTAGTCTTCAAAATATATACCCAAATAAACATGAGGAACCAGATTCTCAGCTGGAGCAAATCAACAGACAGTCACCCAAGCCAAGCAAGCCACTGCTGATTTATATCAGCTGAGCATCTTGCTTAAACTCTTCAGGCAGCAGGGAAACCACATGCCCCCTGAACTCTCCCTCTAGGATGGGATGCAGAGCAGCAGCGTTATTAACTCTTACAGTCCCACTGTGAGAGCATGCACTTGCCCACAGGACTGTGGGCGAGTCATGACCATCACATTTGCACGTGTTTATCTTGTTCTTGCCTAGAGTAAAATAAGGAACCCAAACATTGGTTGCGATCGAAGTCCCCTGTAATAGATTTTTATATATACATATTCTTCAAGTAGCTTATTTTTGAACTCATTTCAACACGATGCTTTTTTAGGTGGGTCTGTTTCGAAAATCTGGAGTGAAATCCCGAATCCAGGCCTTACGTCAGATGAATGAGAGCTCCCCAGAAAACGTCAGCTATGAAGACCAGTCGGCATATGATGTGGCAGACATGGTAAAGCAATTTTTCAGGGACTTGCCAGAACCGCTCCTCACAAGTAAGCTAGGAGAGACTTTTCTGCACATCTACCAATGTAAGTTGCAGTATTTTTTATTATTATAAACAATTATATAATAGTATATATTATATAATAATATATTGTAAATAATTTTGGAATGTTAATGCTGGGTGGGATTCTTTCTGCTCACCTTGGAGATGTATAAAAGCACCTCTCTGCCCTCAAAATATTTCACTGAGAGGTTTTTAGAACTGCCTAAACGTTTCAATGTCAAAATACCAGCAAATTTAATGGAAAGACAGTGTTCAAGTCTTGAGAAGCTTTGAAAATCTCAGCCTCACACGCAGAAAGAAGCCAGAAGGACAGGCTGTCATGGACATAAAAAGCGTGAAGACTCATGTCTTTGTCAGATTTCTTTAAACTGTGCGCCCATTTCATGCAGACATCTCAATACAAGTGAGTCTTCTGGGCATGGACAAGTGGTACTTGACCATGAGAACATGAGCCTGTGCAGTCCCTTTCCTTGCTGTGACTTTTGATTATTTGCCTTTTCATTATAGTCAATAAAACGTTCATGCAAACAACAAGCTGCCTTTATTTACATCCTCAGCTTCTATGTAAAGATCTCATAGAGAAAGAAAAAAAACAGAGGATTTCTTCACTTCAGTGTAAGCAGTCTTCAGCAAAATCTGAGACTCAAATGCGTCAGAATGATGAAAATCCCTGTAAATCAGGAAATGACTGTGTATCTCTTCTCCAGACTGAGGGAGAAATAAACAGTGAGGAAAACACTGAAAAGCCAAAGGAATTAGAGGTTTTTCCTGACAATGTCCATTATGAAGGCCAGTCAGCCAGTGCGCTGGCAGATACAGAAAAGCATACCCAGCCAGCCTAAGCCAAGTAATTGGAAGCACTAAAGAGAAGTGTGTCTAGTCTTTTCACTTGCAGACATTTCAGCTGTCAAAACAATAGAAAGCCATTTTTAAACACTGTATAATCCCAGTGCTAAAGAATTTAAGTTACTTCTGTGCCTCCCTTTACTGTAAAAATCTGTCTGTGGCACGTAGTCGCTAATGTGTCTAACATCACGGTGTCTGTAGCTGGGAGAGAAATACTGTGATCCTGCATGTGAGAGGCAGCATCGCAAATAAATTTTGGTGGATTTGGTCATAGAATCATAGAACGTTTTGGATTGGAACGTACCTTTAGAGGTCATCTAGTCCAACCCCCCTGCAGTGAGCAGGGACACCGCTAACTAGATCAGGTTGCTCAGAGCCCTGTCCAGCCTGGCTTTGAGTATTTCCAGGAATGGGGTCTCCACCACCTCTCTGGGCAACCCATTCCGGTGTTTCACCACCCTCATTGTAAAGAATTTCTTCCTTATATCTAGTCTAAACCTACCCTGTTTTAGTGTAAAACCATTACCCCTTGTCCTGTCACAGCTGGCCCTGCTAAAAAGATTTTCCCCATCTTCCCTATAGGCCCCCTTTAAGTACTGGAAGGCTGCAATCAGGTCTCCCCGCAGCCTTCTCTTCTCCAGGCTGAACAACCCCAACTCTCTCAGCCTGTTCTCATAGGACAAGTGCTCCAGCCCTTGGATCATATGTGGTGTCTTGGGACACAAGTGACCTGAAGCCATTGGTGCCTAGCCCTGGGCCATCACTTCCCCCTGTTCTTCCCTGCTCACAAGTTGCAGGTCTTGTCTGCCCACACACCCATCAGCGAGCTTGCTCAGAAAAGCAACAAAAATTCTTGGTGTTAATAAAATGTCAATCACAATTGTTTCCGTAGTGAAGTAGCCAAGGAGAAGATTATCCGCTAGAAGGACATGTTCTACATGTCCTTTGGAAACAACTCACCTTTAAACTATTGCTTGATGAACATTGGGAATGTCCTATCTTGCTGTAGGAGAGACTGCAAGTAAACTACCGTCTTGCCAGAGGAAAAGAGACATGGCAGATCTCAATGTCATTGGCATTAGTAGGCCTTAGCCAGAAGGAATTCCCATCTCCAAGTTGGGAGCCTGGCATTAGGATTCACAACAGCCAAAAGGCTGAACAGTGAAGCATTGCTACTAGCCAACAAAAAATGCTGTAAAAAGGGGCATGGGCTGAGTCTGTAACCTTGCACGGTACTGCAGTGGGAAGTCTGAAGAACTCTTCTTTACACTGATGGGAGGGGAAAAAAGTCCTAGGAAAGATTTTCTTGAACTGCATCAGTACCTTAAAGGATTTCAGAAAGACTTGAGGATGGGTCTGTTTAAACCAAGGTGGAAACAGGAAAAGATGGGCTCTGTAGACACTGGAGACCAATGTTTGGATTAAGAATGAGTAGCAGTGAGGTTTCTTTTCCCATGTGACCAACAACAAATATATTTTTCTGTTTTAGACAGTACTGACAAAACTCCTTTCACAGAAAGAAAAATGTTGCACATATCTGGGATACCAGTTGTATTTCATAATGTCTGCAATTAAATAAATGTGTAGCTGGGAGTTTTTCTTCCCCTTCATCCTACTTAACAAATTATTAATGTGAAGTTAGGAAGGATTTTTCCTCTCTTAGTGTATTGGCAAGGGATTTCTGAATTTCTGGGACTCGCTGAAGACCTTTTCCATATATCCAGGACCTTTTTTATATATCCAGAATGGCTTGGTTTGCTGTAACACAGAGACTGGGGATGAGATGATTCCTGTAGTAGTCTACATGGCGTAGCATTGATGAAACTTTCTCCATTTCCCTAAAACTCTCAGTTGCCTAATGTTTACCTATGACTTGAGGGGCTGGCTAGTCTTCTCTATAAACTGCCTTCCCAGGGGACAAAAGAAACCTGAAAAATACCATTTAAATATATGAGTACTGAGTGCTATTCCCGTTTCATAAACGTTAAATGAAGTTCAGTCTCTTTCTCGGGGAAGAGCCTTTCAAACGAGTGGAGAAATGTCATACGCTGGCTAGGCGAGCTGTGCTTGATGGAAGAGTAAATACTAGAGTCCTCCAACCACCAGCTGGTCTTTGCCCCTTCATCCCCTGTCATCTGCCTCTTCCAAAAGCCGTTCCTGGAGTGTGAATGCCTGTGCTAACTCTATCTTGTTCCTGGCTCCTTGTCTGATCGTACAGTTGACCCCCCTGACCGTCCCTTGCTTTTCCTCAGACGTCCCCAAGGAGCAGCGGCTGCAGGCGGTGCAGGCAGCCATCATGCTGATGTCCGATGAGAACCGTGAGGTTTTGCAGACTCTGCTGTGCTTCCTGAGCGATGTCACCTCCGTGGAGGAGAATCAGATGACTCCTATGAACGTAGCTGTATGTCTGGCCCCTTCCCTCTTCCATCTCAATATAGTGAAGAAAGAAAGCTCACCCAGGTACTTTTCTTCTCAACACTACAAGTAGTCGTATCCTTAATACAAAATCATGCTTTCAGTGTTTCTATAGGTATGCAGGATAAAATTTTCCAAAGCATCTGCTTCCCAGCACACGCTACACAGGGCATGGCTTTAGTGAGAGGGGACAGTCCACGCCGCAGAGCCAGCAGTACACTTGTACACGCACAGAAGGTGTTTTCACAAGCCCAGCAGGCATTTCTGGCTGGCTGTTGTGAATACGCAGTGCCTGCTTTCCATGCAAAATTTCAGTGGGGCACTATTGAGTTTTGCATAAATAACACTGGCAGCTGTGAAGGGAAAGGGCCTGATTTTGTTCTGGCTGAAGTTGAAGTTTGACGATGTTTTAAAGGATTTTAATACATAGAATTTCAGTTTTTTGCTCTGTATTTTCTGGCTACATTCTGCCACTTGGGAAACCGAGTTTCTTTCAGGCCACATTAAGACAGTGTGTAACACGGTGAGTGTAAACTAAACAGGGCATAGGCCCTGCTAAACGTTAGTGGTCCCAACTTGATGTCTCTTCTGACTTCTTTTTTTTCCCCCCATCTGGTTCAGAATACACTGATATTCTTGGTCATGTATGTGTATAACCAGCGTCTGAGCAAGTGCTTTAAGCAGTAAATTCTGTACATCATGTCTGTTAGAAGTCCATTCCAAAGTGTACAACACCTAATGCAGGACATGCATGAACTTTCCTGCTTTGACCTGTGGCTTAACAGTATTTTAGGTAAACCTTTTTCCTTTAAAAAAGGCCCAACAGTCTGAGCAATCTTTGTGATAAGTAAGAATTGAAGAGGGACTTTTTCTCTCTGGTGTTCTGAACATCCTGCTGCTGTTTGCTTTCATATGAAAAAGATTCAGCTCTTTTTACCTGAAACATTGAATTCAATTGCAGAGTGATACAGAAAAAATATGCAACAGGGAAGCCAGATCAGAAGGACCTCAGTGAAAACCTGGCAGCTACTCAGGGGCTTGCTCACATGATAATGGAATGCAACAAACTTTTTGAGGTGAGTGAGAGACTCAGACGGCATTATTCATGGCCACGTAATGCAGCATCCTTTGAAGTATTTATGTTTATGCTTACATTTTCTGTCTTGTATTAGCTCAGAGGTTGATGGTGCCACACTTATTTGTAAACTTGCTCTATCTAAAGTTTATTTATCTCCTTTCTTTATGACTGTTTGCTTCTAGCATTCAAAGACACAACTATTAAAAATGCAGGGTAATTGCTCTGTGGCAATTGTCAACCCAAATTACTGGATTAGGAAATTTTAGGCCAATTATAATAAAAATCTGCTGCTTTAACATTTCATATTATTATAATGCTTTTAGCAACTCAGTTAAAACTTATTCATCTCAAAAAGAACCATAGAATCATTTAGGTTGTTTACTATTAACCTAACCCTGCCATCCCACCACTAAACCATGTCCCTAAGCACCTCATCTGCCCATCTTTTAAATATCTCCAGGGATGGGGACTCCACCACTTCCGTGGGCAGCCCATTCCAATGCTTGACAACCCTTTCAGTGAAAAAATTTTCCGTCATGTCTAACCTAAACTTCCCCTGCTGCAACTTGAAGCCATTTCCCCTCGTCCTATCGCCTGTTACCAGGGAGAAGAGACCGACCCCCACCTCACTACAGCCTCCTGTCAGGCAGTTGTAGAGGGCGATCAGGTCTCCCCTCAGCCTCCTCTTCTCCAGGCTAAACAGCCCCAGTTCCCTCAGCCGCTCCTCATCAGACTTGTGTTCCAGACCCCTCACCAGCTTCGTTGGTAAAGAAGAGCCAATACACTTTATTTCTGTGTGTCATACAATAAAGTTAAAATTACATAGGGAGAAGTAGTCTCCCTGTATCTTTCACTGCAGGTGGAGGAGAGATAATGCTTGTATCTCCCTCCCCCAGAAGCATAAGGCAACATATCTGGGGGCTAGAGGTAGCACACCTGTATTGACATACAGTTGGTCAGTCTAATGCAGTTCTGCATGAGTCGTGCTATTCTGAGCCATGGATTGTTCCATTGTACTGCCCTGATTTCTCATCTCGCATAATGAGCAAAGACAGAAATAGGTATCCATTTTACAGATCATAGGCTCATTGCAATGGGATGCTGAATGGTCCATCAGCCATTGCCTTAAGGAAAAGTTCTCAGCAGGAGTTTTTCCCTGTGTATTTTCCCTTTCTGTGGCACAGGTCCCACATGAGATGGTCACCCAGTCCCGAAACTCCTATGTCGATGCAGAAGTGCATTCTCCCACCCTAGATGAGCTCGGGAAACAAGTGGATGAGGAAGGAGGGAACTATCACATGTACCTGGAAAGTCTCATGCAGAATCTCCAGAAAGAAGCAAAAGAGAAATTCAAAGGATGGGTCACATGTTCCAGTTTAGAGAACACAGAACTTGCCTACAAAAAGGTAATTTGGGGTGGCATAGAAGAAGCAGTAAAGAAACCAAAGCAAAATACAGCCTAGCTATCGGACACCTTGACTTCTTGCATGGCTAAACACATACCCTTCTGTCTGGTGAGGCACACTATTTTTCTAAAAGACTGCTAAAAGCGGTTAAAAATGTAATATGATAGTGATTCAAGTATGAGATTCCAGGAAAAGGCACACAAAGCAAGCTAAGGTGTCCAAAGTGATTAAAGTGATCCAGCAAACAACACAACCAGAGAGCGAGCTGAGAGTTTAACAACAGGTAACATTACCTAGGTAAGCTCTTTGACTGGGGGACAGGCAAAGTTTCTGACCGTCTCCTGTTGTTTGCCAGAAGTTTGGAGAACGCAGTCAGATCACAAGTTTTAAAAACCCCCTTCAGGCTGCCCACTGCTTTACTTAGCCAGGCCAGCCATATGGCCAGTTTTATGCCTGATCCTCTCTTGTCCTTGTTTCCAGTGGATTTTTGATATCTGCAACCTTTATGAAAATTTCTGAAGCTGTTCCAGGCTCCATCACTTCTACAGGGAAAGCCAGGCCACTACAGCCAGGGGGAGGGTGCTGCAGGGTCCCTGCAGACAGTGGGGTTCAGGGCTGCTGGAAGTGCAATGGCAAAACAGAGGTCTGCGAACCAGCAGCAGCTACCGAGAGGAGTGGGTGGCTTAGGGGTGGGTGACATGAGTAAGGCAGGGGAAGGGAACTGGGAAGAGTGTGGGATCTGACGGTGAGGGGGCAGGGGGGGTCTTAGGGGCCAGAGGCAGCATTACCCCGATTTGGGAAAGTGCAACCCCTCTGTTAGGGCAAAGAAATCACAGTTACTCTGGTTTGTAGCCAGCTTCTGTGAGCCACCTCTCCAGGGAGGGACTGTGGGAGGCTGGGGAGGGGGTAACAAGGCTCAGGTGGGAGTAGGATGTTGGAGAGGGGAGGGAGCGAATAGGGGCATGCAGGGGCCTGGGGTCAAGGGCATGTGAGGCTACAGAGGGGATTGGGAGCCCCTGAGGCTCTAGGGCAGGAGGACGGGGGAACGGAGAGCTTTGAGGAGGAGGAATTATAACAACATAAAATAATTTAAGGTGGGAGTTTGGTTTCTGGGGACACAATTCTGGCTCTGTGGGAGGTGCTGGAGGCTTCTGGAGCGCTAGCATTGGTATGTGAGGATGCCAGGATCAGGAGGGGTTAGAAAAGCAGGGTTTGCGAGATCCAGTGCTTATAGTTAACTCACTTGCTGCCTGAAATATGACAGCCCTAAAACCATGCAGAAATGCCATACATGTGGAATTTAGGATATGCATCTTTCACGTAGCCTAGCACTTTCTGCTCCCCTTATCGCGTGCTGTGGAGGTGAAGCAGTGAAGAGTTAGCAAGCAGTTTGTGTGTTCCTTCTTTGAAAGGCATTTTCCCAATACATCCCTTGTGGCTATTTTGAGGAGCAAACATCTGTGTATCTGACATGTAAGTGAATCAGCATGTGTTCTGCTCTTCCACCAATTAACCAGGAGAGTTAATTGACCCTCAGGCCCAGCTAGTGCATCAGATTGCCCAGGGTGGTAGCTTTATTTCAGCCCAGGGTTTCAGTCTCTCCTTTCACCTGTTTTTACTTCTACACATACATATTATTCATTACACTTAAGATGCCTGGAGTTGAAAAGTGTCTGTCACACCAGAAATAACATGGCAACTCCACTGGCACTATGGGAACTGGTCCAGATATACAGTGGTGTGAGCGCAGAAGTAAGGTATCACTTCAGTTTTCCATTCAGGACTCGCATGCCTATGTTTTCACATACAGAAGAGCAGCAGCAATAGTAATAGTATGTTTGCATGCTCTTAAGTTAAAGCCAGATGTCCATACCAAGATTCTGTCATCAGTTACCTTCTGCCGAACACATGCGTATAGATCATGGGGTTTTATGTTCTTTGTGACTTTACTCCAGGTTGGGGATAGGAACCCCCTAAGGCTTTGGAAAGCCTCCGTGGAAGTTGAAGCCCCCCCATCAGTTGTCCTGAACCGAGTCCTGAGAGAACGTCACCTCTGGGACGAGGACTTCTTGCAGTGGAAGGTGGTTGAGAGCCTGGACAAGCAGACAGAAGTTTACCAGTATGTTTTGAACAGCATGGCTCCTCATCCTGTCCGAGATTTTGTCGTTCTAAGGTAAGTTGAGGGCAGTTCTCCAGTATCTTTGCTTCCTGCAGTGCTTATAAGGAAGATCTGGTCTTATCTCAGCCTGCGCATCTGTATAATTGTTGTTGGAGAACTCTACTTCTGGACAGCAGTGTTGGTTTCTCAAACTGAATTAAAATTGTACACCTAGAGCATGCTGACCTTTTCTCTGATGCAATTTGAGCAGCACATACTCCTGAGGCCATAAATATAATTTCTTCCTTAGAACAGATGTCTGATAATAGCGGCTGTTCTCCCTTAGCTTTGTTTGTTGTCAAAACAGTGCAAATAGAACCCAATTGTTTTTTACGCCGCTTTTGCCGTTCTCTGAGGAACGTTTGATGTTTAAGAGCCAAATGTTTAGTAGAGAAGATAGTGGTGCTTTTAAGCTAAGGTGGTTATACGGTGTCTATGATGTAAGTTGTTATTTTAGATTTGCAGTTGGAGTCTTTGTAGACCAAGAAATGCCAACCCATAAAAATCCTAGTGTGGAAATGAACAGAAAGAGGCAGTAGATACGTATCCTGACTGTCTTCCAGGGGATGACGTCTCTCTAATAAATGTATAGCTCTGTATCAATACTCTAAATTCCGTCCCAGTTCTGCCACTGCGTATCTGCCTGTACAGAACAGACAAAATAAATTCCTCTTGTGCACCTTCTGCCTTTGAAATCCTGGCCCTTTGCTTGCTAGGAGCTATTGTGGAGCTGCTGACATATTTCACTTACAGGGTCAGTCCTACAGTTATTTATTTCAGGATGATTTTGTGCATTCCCATTCTTGGTCTCTGCTTTCTTTGATTGAAATGATGTGCCAGAGAAATACTAAGCAGTTTTGACAAAGGAAATAGTCCAGTGAGTCAGAATTGTATTAGAGGCAACAAAGATTGAAGGAAAAAGATGAGCCCTATAAAAAAAATAATTATGATAGTACATCCCTTCTATGAACTTGAGTATTCTCTTAGAGAATGATAACATGCAGATATTGTCAGTGTAAAGGAAGAATTATTGGAACTCTTAGAGGAAGATTTAAAAAATATTTTCTGTAAGTTCTTTATAGTGTGAAAATGCCATTACTCTATTTCCTTTGCCTTCCCACAGCATAGTGGGCTAATTTAATTATATTATAAGATTATAAGTTTTCTCATATTATTGACTTAAACCAGTGATAAATTTGGCCCTCCACATAGCACCAAGAAGATTGTCTGGGAGCAGTGGGGAGGTTTTGATGACCATAATTCTGTCCTCTTAGTTGCCACTTAGTTCACTATTAGGTTTCATGGTGTTTTATGTTCCTTAAAGACCTGCTGTGCAGTCACATCAGTTAAAGAAAAATCTTGCCATCAAGTTCTCATTCTTTTCACTAACTCAGGCAGAATGACCCCCAAGGACTGAAATACATATCATAAAACTGAATCCTGGTGGGTTTTTAAGGGCTGAAAACAGCCGTCAGGCAGATCTGTCAGATTCTGTTGTTTATCTCTTTTGATTTATATCATTAAGTCTAGAGCAAGGTTAGCCAGCGGTATCACAGTCAGTTTGATACCTTATGATTGGTGGGAAGCAAACAGTGAAATTATAATTCACCTCTGGGGACATGAATTAATATATTTTAACGGATGGCAATTTTCCCCTTCCCAATCAAACTTTTGGCTGTGAAAGGATAAACTTAGTTGTTCAGGTTTCTTTTTTTTTTTTTTCCCCCCAATGTGGCAGTCATAACAAGGGGATTAGGCTCCCTTGAGAAGACTCTAATAGTAAGAGATAGGGGGGATGTTTCATATGCCTGGGATCTAGCACAGCTCAGCTGCCCTGCACAGGCATCACTTTTCATTAAATATTCCTCAAGTGTTTAATGTTCGTTAAGTATCACAGCATCTCTGTGAGTTAGGTGTCATGTCTGGTTTTGCTACTGTAAGATATTTAGAGAAGTACAGAAACTGGCCTAAATTTGTATAACTAGGAATAGGAATCATAAATCTTCTGCAATCTCTAGGATATATAGTTTTCCGCTTCACAAATGGCCCAAGTAAGTGTCGCGTAGTTACGAAGATGACACGGTCACATCTAAGCACTGTGCAGGCCTTCACAGTAGATGGTTCAGCATTTCACAGTAGACCTGAGGTGCGATTTCTTACTCTCCATGTGTTCCATTTGCCAAGAGAGCTCATCATTTTTATTAACACGCAGACACGTGAAAAACCGTCTGAGGTCAGTATCTTCCTGCATTGTCTTGAGTAACAGTTCAATTTCATATAAAAAAAAAATGCAGAATGTTAAAATTATCTGCCGCAGTCCAAACTTCAACAGTCCTTGAAAGCAGCTTACTGGTTAAAACATGACACTTCCCAAGGTAGCATAATCCCTGTCTCAGGCCATGGCAAGATGATGCATATTACACAGCACAGTGGGAATTTCTCATTTCTTCTTACAGCATAGGAAAGAGCATAGACCTATCCTGTGAGATTCAAGGCAAATAAGAAAGATGTGAGACACCAAAATATGTAGAGAGTGCTTACAGAACAAGAAAAAAACATGAAGTATTAAAGCCTAGGTCTCCTGAACCTGGTGGAAAAATCCTGCAGCATGTCAGATAGGCTAGAAACTTGGGAGAGGGGGACAAAATTAAATGACTGACAGAGCTCAAAATAAAAATACATCTTAACAGGCCAGCTCAAAACCTGACAGCTTGTGAAAAATAACACGTGGGTAATAAGAAACCAGCTACTGATCATTTGCTAGCTGGCATATATGGTGACATTGTCGTGAAATGCCACTGTTATATTACTTTTTCCCAAGTAAAATTTACTCAATAGTTGTATAACAGTGGTGAGACAGAATGTGGTTCCATGGTCCAGAAAATGCCCCTTTCCTCCTGTAAGGGAAAAGAACATGGAGCATAGATCCTGTTGGAGGAAGAGGTAAATGAGCACATGATTGTGTTAGCAGAGGCTGCAAAAAGCTTGTTCGTTCTTGCTGTGTGGCACTGGAAGGGAGGAGGACCATTCCAAGAGAGGTCTCTTTCTGGAGTAACAGTGGGGAGGAAGGAAGCAAACAGATAAGTGATGGCTTTGTGGGTGCCTGGTTGACCAGTTCTTCTAGAATAGCTGGTGAGGATGTTGGTTCAGTTGTTTGATTGGTAGCAAACCAAAGCCTACCGAAAGGGAGCCTAACTTCACTATCATTCTGAAAGGAATAATCATGAAGTTTTAGCCTTTGGCTATTGCAACAAATAAACCGTGTAAGACTCTTACTTTGCTGTTGCTACTTGGACTGTGTGGTGGCAAATGACCATTATGTGATTGCCACCAGCCACCTGAGGAGACTTTCCTCAGCTGCTGTGTGTCAGTGGATATAAGCAGCAGAACATCCTGGTAAAATGTGCTGCATTTATACTTATCATCACCAAGAGTATTGTATGTTAATGTCATTGATTAAGTAAATGCTTGTCATGAAAGGACACTTTTTTTTTTTTAATTCAGATGCCCATGAAACATGTTCTTGGAGTCTCAGCTGTCAGTCTGGGTAGTAGTGAGGATTTCTGCTGTCCTAAACTCTGTCTGTTGTTCTGTAAATCTGCATGGGTGCAGTCCAACATCTCAGCCTTTGTTGGATGGCTTGTGCTCACTTTACGTCCTTTCCAAAACTTCTGTCTATCTGCAGAAGGTTGTATCATGCCCTGTAACCCATGATGGTTACAAAATGCTCATGTGGAGAAGCAAAACTTATCCACCTGGAGCCTGCAGCAAGATAGATGGGTGGCCATTCCACGTCACGGTCAGACTCCCAACTGGGGTGGGGGGACAACAGCAGGATCAGGTGGATATTGTCCTTCAAGAAAATAATGTACATAGCATCAATTGTTATACCCTGAGTCATTTTAGAAGGTGGGAGTTTTGCGGTTTGACTTGCCTCCTCATGTACCAGTGTATCCCCAAATCTCTCAGCAGTTCTTATCAAAATTATGGTACTCACCATTAAAATTAATAAACTTACAGGAGGGGATCTAGCTCGAAAATCTGTGCTTGCTAAATTTCTGTGGCCTGTTTTGAGCAATAGTGACAACAAACTTGGAACACAAAACCCCTCTAGGGACTCCTAGGGCAGTCCAGTGGCTTTGCGGGCAACAAGAAGGATAGGCAGACAGGCAGATGTCACTTTAATTCAGGTTCTTACTCGTGTGCCCAAAAGTTTAGTTACTAAAGTGATTCCATCTTGAATGTGTTGCTGCAGGACGTGGAGGACTGATTTGCCAAAGGGGATGTGCGTGCTGGTTGCCATCTCTGTGGAGCACGAAGAGGCTCCCCTTATGGGAGCTGTGCGAGCCATCGTGATGGACTCTCAGTACTTGATCGAGCCATGTGGCTCAGGAAAAGCCAGGCTGACCCATATCTGCAGAATTGACCTGAAGTAAGTATCCTACCTGCAAAAAGCAGCTGTCCGTTCAGCTGGGCAAAAACCTCCAGCTCAGGGAGGGAAGAGGTGTTGGGAACAGAGGACATGGTCAATGTAGCTTTGCTGCTTTGGAGTCTTCCTGCAGTTTTTTTTTTTTCTATCCACCAAGCTCGTTTCTCCACTCAGCAGTCTACCACTGTTGTGATGTGATCACAGAAATAAAATCTGCTTATTTGAGTACTGCAGGGGAGAACTTCAGAGTACATTTGCAATGACAAGTATTTCAAGTCCCCACCACCACCGTGGGCAGCGGCATGTAGGAAGCATGAGAAGCCTTTCCCTGCGGGGCATGTTTCTTGAGTATTAGAGTTTCTCAATAATTGTCTTTCTGTTCCTTCAGAGGACATTCCCCAGAGTGGTACAACAAAGGCTTTGGACATCTGTGTGCAGCAGAAGTTGCCAGGATAAGAAACTCATTTCAGCCTCTGATTGCTGAGGGACCAGAAACGAAAATCTGAGGAAGCGTTCCTGGGAGCGTGTGAGCATAAATTGGGGGCTGGCAGGGCACAGGAAGGCTGAGAGCGAAGATCTTAAGCTACAGAACTCTGGCCAGACCTGGGTCTGTGCAAAGGTGAAACAGGAATTTTATAGGAAAGTTCTTTTATTCTGGAGATTAAATCAGTCTATTGCCATTACTTGTGTGTTACATAACTCTGGTATTTAAAGGCTTCTAAGAAGCATATTTTAATTGTAAATAAATTATGTACAGTATGTATATATTTATCTATATTATATCTATATATATATGTATATGTATAAATTAATTATTTTGTATATAACTCAGTGCAAATCACTTGCATCAGTTGGACCTTAAATGAATCTGTCGTTTGTTTCTTAGTGTGTCACTGCTACATAAGCTGTGTTTGCTGTTATCACAGGGCTACCGGGCCTGTTCTCAAATGTTTCGTGTTTGTGTATGCTGTGAGAAGGTACCTAGAAATAGATGTAGGAAGAATTAGAAGAGCTAAGGAGGAAGGAGGTTACTGTACGTTTAAAAATAAGGAGGAGTGGATCAATGTCACCAAATAAAATACATGGAAATGTAACTGAGAGACACATTTTGAAGGCCGTTTATATTCAGCTGCAGAAGGTTTGTGACTGTTACTACAAGGTGTTGAAAACTTACCTATTGCCTTAATTAATGGTATATCTGCCGCTAGAGAACCTCACTATGTGCAGCGTTCGAAGTAACCGCTTGTTCTTGGAGAGTACAAGATAACGCTGTGTGTACTGAGGTGTCTGAAATCAGACCAGTAAGTTATTAAGCTATAAGTCTTTTTTTTATTATTTTTTTTTATTTTTTTTTACCATTTTGTCTGGGTTCCGAGTCAGCATTTCTGTGTTGTCCTTTCCTCCGCCCATAGAGATGGCTAACTGTTCAGAAACTCCAAAGTAGATTTTCCACATCCAGGGCACACAAAGACGTGCAGATGAATACCATGCGTTGTAATGTTCTTACTATACAAGTAACTAAACTTTTTTTTAAGCTTTTAAACACATCTTGGAGATTTAAAAGACTAGATGCAGCCTATGCTTGGAAAGATTGCTTTTATAGTAACAGCAAGCGTTGTCATATTATATTGCACTGATCTGCATGATCCTGCCTCTGTAGGCATTGGATTAGCCCCTGACTATGAGGAGTAGGAGCCATTTAAGCCTATTATATAACTTCATTTTCAGGGACCTATTATTTTGCTAATGGAAGAATGCTTTAAAAGTAATAATAATAATTTGTTGACGTTACCTTTGAGGCAGGGTTCCGTTTTGTTTTTAACTAACCTAAGACCAAAAATGATATTACATCTATGATTCAGTAAGAATGTACAAGCCTGTTAATACTGTTCTTCATTAATCACATTTGTTCACTTTATTTATTGCTGCATAAACCAGCTGAGTCATTCATAGCCAGTGTTTTAGCTCAGTCCTTCCAACAAAATCCACTAAGATTTAGTATGAGGTCAATTAAACGGGATACATTTCCTAAATGAAGCTACAGTTTTGTGCCCTGATTCAGTAAACAGGGAAGTCTTTTCAAGCCAGTGCTTTGAATCTGCCCCGGGCAAGGGGGCTGTGGAGCGGACAATGTGTGGTCCTCGATTGCTGCTAGAGCACGACCCCCCCGTGCCATCGTGCACACATGTAAAGGCTGTGCTGGTGGGGGACAGCCCTGCAATCCAAGGAAGCAAGCCGGTGGGAGCTTGGCATGGACAGGGGCAGGGTGACCCAGCACGGTGTCCCTATGGAGCAGCAGGACCCCAAAAAAGTCACTGTTGTCTTCCTCCATGAGCTGTCTGGCCCCCATTTTGTTGTACAACTCATAGGACTGAGGCGGCTGGCTGCCCACGAGCTCCTGCCTTGAGTTTATCGCCAGCAATAGTTGCAACGTGCAACTACTGTGTGGTTTTAAGTCTTAAAGACGGGGTAGCACTCGCACCCTTACATGGCTGTGTTGAGGTGTGGCAGTCACCAGCCAGCTGCAGGGCACCACCACTGCCCACGTCCAGCTTTCCCGGAGCAAGCAGTGGCTCACGAGCCGGTGGGGGCAAGGCCAGTCCCCTGGTTCCAGCGGGACCACCATCCCAGAAAGCAGTACCTCCTCCCCAAATGCCTGTAGCCATGGCAGCAGGCTTCATGCCGGCTGGTTTCCAAAACATGAGCAATTAGAGCACTTCTGCTACATTAGTTTGCATAAATGAATACAATAGGGCCTCAGTATTAATAGATGCAGAATTTCTGGCCCTGGGAATGGCAGTTGTCTGACAGTAAATAATTTCTTAAGGAAATGAAGGGAAAACCTGGACAGTGGTTTTATCCTGTCTGATAAGTCATTGCTCAGCTGGAAGGGTCCCTGAGCCACCCGCTGCTGTTAGCAAGGTAGGGTTGTCCTTCTGCCCTTGCAGGAGCTGTCATGTGCTTCTGGCATCTCTAAGCCATGTATCAATGAAATAAGATTTCTTTAAAATGCACATTATGCCATGCCTACCGTTCAGCTACCACAGTATTTTGTATTGTTACATTGCCATTGAGAATACATTATGATAATTGCATTTTTAAATGTTATACTCATATCAATACCTCATATTTTTACCTCATCTGTTGGTATCAGTCATTAGTTGTAAATAAATAATTGCAGAGTTGAATAAATTTGCATACACTAAAGAATCATTGTTTCCATTGCGTCCTTTCCTCATTTTGTCCATCGGCACAAGAAACACGGTACATTTAAGCCCTTGCTTTCTTTATTGCAACCTGCTGTCCACTAAACTGTTCTGACACAGTACTTCAGTAATGATTTTAGGCTCAAAATGATATTGTTGCCCATTAAACTTAACCCATAGTGTCCTTAAGTATACAAAAGCTTCATGGCAAAGATTATGTTTTCCAAAGAAGCCATTAAGCTTGAATGGCTGGCTTGAGAAAAGTAAGCTCAGGTCCTCAACAGTTTTTAGGCTCCTGACTCCCACTGAATTCAGCCATGTTTCTGCATCTGTGTTCTTGTCAATAATCTAAGTCTAGGTTCATAAGAGTGACTGTGGGGCTGGGGTGCCGAACATTGAGTTCACATTATCAGACTTCAGCCATCTCAAATCCATCAAGCCACTGCAAAAGGGAAAAAGATAAAACAGCAGGATATTGATTCCTGTGGTTTGTCTTATGCATATCTACAGATGGAATAAACGTCCCTTTGAATAGGCCTATATCTCTTCCAACTCTTTCTTGAATTATCAAAAGAAGGGGAGTTTCAGGAAACAGGATGCTGAGCAGGGAGTCAGCTATGAAGGAACATCTAGGAGGGGATAAGCCTGTTGTCCTGGTTTCGGCTGGGATAGAGTTAATTTTCTTCACAGTAGCTAGCATAGTGCTGTGTTTTGGTTTTAGTACCAGAATAATGTTGATAACACACTGATGTTTTCAGCTGTTGCCAAGTAGTGCTCAGACTACTCAAGGACTTTTTGAGCTTCTCCTGCTCGGCCAGGTGCATAACAAGCTGGGAGGGAGCACAGCTAGCACAGCTAACCCAAACTGACCAAAGGGCTATTCCATACCATATAACGTCATGCTCGGGGGGGGGTTAGTTAGTTCGGTCGGTTCGTTCCGTTCAGTCGGTTGCTCGGGGACTGCTCGCGGCTCGGGGACTGCTTGCGGCTCGGGACGGGCTGGGCATCGGTCGGTGGGTGGTGAGCAATTGCCTTGTGCCTCATTCATTTTGTATATTCTGTATATTCTGTTATCATTCTCATTATTACTATTATTATTATTCTCTCTTATTAAACTGTCTTTATCTCAGCCCTCGGCTCTAACCTTTTATTTTCTTTCCGATTCTCTCCCCCATCCCCCTGAGGGAGGGGGGGGGAGAGGATGCTGAGCAGGGAGTCAGCTATGAAGGAACATCTAGGAGGGGATAAGCCTGTATGTCCCACCATGCCAGGAAAGCTCAGTGTTAAACTTTGGACTGAAAGGAAGCACCTTTCTCCGATTCTCTGCCATGGCAGAGATGGTCAGCTGTCTAAGTCCCTCTTTTCTTGCAAAAAAATATAGTATGTGATGCGCTCTCATTCCCAGATCTCCCTCCCACCCACCTGCGGCAATGCCAGGGCAAACAGACTATCTTAACCCTCACTCCACTTCTGTTTCAGCTCCTGGTATGTGCAGTCTTTATAGTCTTGCATTCTTGGGCACCCATCCTCTTTACAACCCCTTGCAGGTGTCACCAGCAACGCGTCTCTCTGATGCAGTTGCTCTGCAGGCTTGGTGTGAGCCTTGGCAGATCGTGGCATGCCTAAGAGATGGCAAGATGAGAGCACAGGCTGAACATGCTGAAATGTCTGTGAGCTGGAAACACTGGAAGAAATATCCAGAAGACTGCAGGAGCCTGCAAATCAAATAGGAGAGGATGAAAAATGCTGCTGCTGCTCCAGCTCAACAGTGACATGGAAGAGCTGTGGAGCGAACACAGACCTTGCCAGACAGCAAGCAGCTCTTAAATGGCGTGACCCACTCACAGTCCCTTGGGCACTTAGTATGGCCGCGTCATGCTCTCCTTGCCAGACGTGTGTCAGCTGCAGCTGCACAGGCCTTCATCTGGATGGGTGCTAGGCCAGGCAGATCATGTCGTTACAACTGCAGTTGCATATCATGGTATGCCAGGACCAGGAATATGGGGCATCAGACCCCAGATTCAGAACAAGGCAAGTGTTTGGACTTTGCTAAAATGTACAATTTAAATTGTGACCCTCAATATCCTGGGTCACTCAGCTATACTATGTAGATAAGCCAGCATTTTCCCCCAAAGCAGCAATGGATGTAGAGCAGATGCCACCTAGCACTGTGTGACTACAGACTGTCCCACTTCAGCGTGCAAGAAACCCAGCTCAGCAAACACGTGCGTACGTGGAACTCAAGGGCTAACGCAGAGCAGAGCAGTGGGTCTGGGTTAATGAGTAAGCGACAGGGAAAA